AGGAAATAAACCAGAATTTGAGGCAAGAATGGTCTTCAATGCCTACAGTGACCCCTGTTTTTAAAAATTAAACCAAGCAAGTACACATGAAAAAAATGACTCTAGAGATATATAGGCATATCCATATACAGGATATCCCAAAAATGTATGTATATGCATTTTGAATGATTCTAAAGTCACTGTTTATTACCATACAGTTTATTTTCAAAATTTAAAAGAATCCACAGAAATGAATAATTTTCTTTGTTGATGCCTGTTTTCAAACTGATGGGCATTCTGGTCCAGGCATTGCTGATAATGTGAAGCAATGGAATCACAAACATCGAGAATCATTTCTTTCGGTATTTGTGTGCCCTCAATTAATCGACTGTTGCTGGTTTTGTACTGTAAACTTATCTTTTATGTGTCCCTATAAAAAAAAAAGTCTAGTGACACTTTAGGATAAATTTTCTTTGTTCAAAGCTTAGTCCGGCTTCACCCATTATTTCAAATCAGTTAAGCCTGAAAAAGATTAAAAATTAAGTTATCTGCTGTTAAAGTGTGTATATATATATTTTTTGGGACACCGTATATATGAGTCCTGAAGATAAGATTTCATGTAGAACTCACTAAGCTTACTAATGTAGAAGGAAAAGTATTCCACATGTGAATGAATTTTATGTCCTAGTTTTTTCTTTTCTTTTTAAATATATTTTATTGACTTTTTTTTTTTTCAGAGAGAAAGGGAGAGGGATAAAAAGTTAGAAACATCGTTGAGAGAGAAACATCGATCAGCTGCCTCCTGCACAATGTGCCCGCAGCCAAGGTACATGCCCTTGACCGGAATCAAACCTCTGCAGGCTGATGCTCTAGCCACTGAGCCAAATTGGTTAGAGCTGTCCTAGGGTTTTTATTGCACTTTCTACCTATATGCCAATTACTAATTCAGACAGAAGAAGAAAAAATAGGCAACTAAATGACTTACAGTGGGATTTTTCCCTGGGTTAGGATTTTCCCCTGGGTATAGAAACTTCTGAAAAACATTTTACCTGATTGTATGTAGCTAACTTTTTGTCAATCTAATGAAATACAAATAAATACTAGCCAACAGTCTTGAAGTTCAAAAACAACAACAAATCCCACACAATCCCACTCCCTGCCTGCATACTGCTGATTTACCATTTTCACCATGCGTCCTGGTATCCAGAAACCCACTCAGTCATAACACTAAACTACTATTAATAATAATGATACTGCTGGCTGCCACGCACTGACTGGCCATCCTGTGCCAGGCACCCATGTACAAGTTTATACATGTGCTACTGCTTGCAGTCCTGACAGCCAGGCAGGGAGCAAGGTTCTACTATTACCTCCCCCTGCAAGAGGTGAGAAAACAGAGGCCCACAGAGAGAAAACAACTTGTCCAGATCAAGTAAGCAAAGGAGTTAAGATTTAACCATTGTCTGCAAAGCTCTTTTTTGTGGTTTTTTTTTTTTTTTTTTAATCCTCACCAAGGATACATTCTTATTGATTTTAGAGAGAGGAGAAGGAAGAGGGGGAGTGATGAGAGAGAGAGAGAGAGAGAGAGAGAGAGAGAGAGAGAGAGAGACATCAATCTGTTGCCTTCTGAATGTGCCCCAACCAGGGATCAAACTCGAAACCTGGGTATGTGCCCTGACCCGTAATCAAACCTTTAACCCTTCCATGCACAGGACAACACTCCAACCAACTGAACCACACAGGCCAGGGCTGCAAAGATCTTACAAATTAAGGTAAGATTGTCTCTTTGAACTTTTATTTGCTTAACCTGATCACCTTCTGACAAAAGGACAAGCATAGTTTTCAAAAATAATTTTAATACTAATTAAATATATACTCCAATGTATGACACGTTTACTTTCCAAAAAAATAAACTATATGACAATTTTCCATCCCAATGATGGATAATGGTCCTTCCCAACCACAAACAGGTTAAGGTAGTGAGACTCTGACCTAGTTCACGCTAAGCTGTGTATTGTTCTCCGAGCATCATTCTCTCTAAAACAGCCTGGTGCTCGGGGTGGAAAAAGAACAGAACAGAACCTACAAAAGCATGCTGTCTAATTAAATGTATTAGCACCAATACCATAGATCAAAGCAAGACAAGAGGTGCCTTCTGCGTGAACCCAAGGATGGCAGCAAGAACCTGTCTATCCCTGAGGGGTCAGCAGGGAGGCCAGTTCCACAGAGAATGAAACCAGTGTCCTGCCTCATTATCCCCAAGGCTAAGCCCTTGCCTAGGATATGGACGTTAGAGCCCAGCAAATGGGCAAAAGCATAGGTTCAGGGCTCACACAGCTTGAGTTCCAATCCTGCCCTTTGCCCTTACTATGTAAATGTGGACCTCTAAGACCTTTCATTGCCTCCAGTAAGGGGAACACTGATATCTGCCTAAAATGCATTAGTGTGATGGCTGCATGGGATCACATATGGGACCTGCTAGCCCACGTCCTGGAATATAGTAGATGAATAACAGATATGAAATAGCCTTCTTCCCCGTGAAGGACCTTCTTCACTGGTGGGTGGCAACTGACTCACAGTGGTGTGCAAGAAATGGCTGTTTAATTTTAGGTATTTTGCAAGCAAGTTATTAAATATAGCCATCATTCAAAATTAAATTACATTAACTTAAAATTAATCTTATTAAAAACAAAGGGCATACATACTGAAATCTCTCACTTTCTGATTAGTTTACTCCACGTCACGATTATCTGTGCTCTTCAGGTTATTTATCTCTATTGTCTATTAGGCAGTGGAAATATTGCATCATGGTGAGCTACAGCACTTCTCCCCCCAGTGCACCTTCAGTGCTGTCACATTTATAGCTTGAAATAAGCCCTGGTAGGCGTTATTTACATGGAAATTGGCAAACACCACAAGTCAGGATTTCCTTGCTTTGGGAGCCAGTTATTAAAAATTTATCAGCACACCCCTAGTATTCATATTTCTTCATATCCCTTTTTGTTACAGCATCTTTCATCCCTACTCTCTACATATTGTCTATATACAAGCACATGTCAATCAAATTTAAAAGGAAAACAAAAATCTAACCCTGTGCAGTTACCATCCTTTTTCCCCACACCTTCATTACCAAATTTTCTGAATAAGTATGCTTCATTCCAACACTTTTTACCAGCCTCTCATTAATTTATTTATCTAACAAATACTTGTGCCACTACCATTAGCCAGACACTATGAAAGAAATTGGATATACAGATATGAGCAAGAGGCAGCATAGCCCCCTGTCCTCAGGGAATTCAATCTGACTTCTGTCCTGCCTTGGAAATCTACAAATCCCTAGTTACTCCTCTGTTTTCTCTTCCTTTGCCTCTTACAAACTACTTCCCCAAATGTGTTACCTCCTTTTCCTCCATAGCTCTCCACAGAAAGTCAAGATTCTCTCAATGTTTCGATTGTTCGTCTCTCTTTCTCAGGAATTTCAGGAATTACTGTGATATATCCTCCCTGCAACCCTCAGGAAACTTATTTCTCCCCTTGACTTTCCGTCTCAGTAACTGACGCCACAGTCCACCCAACTGTTTAAGCCAACACCCCCCAAATCCATGTATCCTTCCTTTCCTTTCCCCAACCCCAAACATTAGCAAGTCCTGCTGGATTGGTATCCAAAAGGTATCCCAAACCCACCACACCTGCTGACCCCAGTCTCCATCTCCCTCAGTCTGTGCAAAACTTAACTCTTTTCCCTGCTTTACTCTTATCCCCAACATCATGTACCACGACAAAGCCAGAATATTTAATGTAACCATTTCTTACCATCTTAAGATAAAACAAAATATAACAACAGCAAAAACAACATCACCTCTAAAAATAATGGTGTGGCTCCATTCCACTCAGAATAAAATTGAAACTAGTTTCCTTAGCTAACACGGCCCTTCATCATCTGGGACATGCCCACCTCCTGACCTTGCTTCTCCAATCTCCACGTGTTCATTATCCCAAGTCTGGGACCCTATGCCCAGATCTTTGCAGGACTAGCTCCTCCTCTCATTCAGGAAGATGCAGGAGGCCTGCTCTGACCAGCCAATGCAAATGTGTCCCTCTCCATTACTTCATTCAGCATCGTCTATCCAGTGCCTGTCTTCTACTAGAAGCGACCTAACAGCAAAGACCTTGTCTTTCTTACTCACCAGGATGCTCCTGGTTCCTAAAACAGTGTCTGGCTTGTGGTAGACACTCAATGGGTATTTTATTTAAAAATACTTAATAAATGAATGAATGAAACAAGAGGCAAAAAATAAGAAACAGGAAAAGGTGGGAGTAATGGGAAACATAGACCCTGAAACAGAGGGTTTTTTCTAGAAATGAACAGAAAAATAAGAACAGCAACCTGAAGTAGTAAAGGACTAACAGTATGAATTGAATTTCCATTTTTATTAGGTTCTGGCTTGCTCATGGCTTGAGCAAGTTTAGAGGTAACCTAATTTAGTGAGCACCTGTTCTGATAAATGGACGTTACGTGTTGCGGCTAGGTGAAATTGCTTTTAAAAAGCAAGTCCCATGCTTTCAGGATTTTCCTGCATCTCCACAAACCTTTCTGAAAGGCAGAGTCCCCTGGGCTTTCTCCCACACTTGTGCTGTAGTACATTCCAATCATACACAAGAGCAAGCTGAGGCAGTAAGCGGAAGGTAGAGCGCTCTCCTCCCCAGAAAGCCAATGGCAGGGGTCTCCTCACAAGGTTCTTCCAGCAGGAAAAGAGAAAACGTTTGTTCTCCTTAATTGAGTGTTCACAGACCCACACCTCACCCCCTGCTTCTAAATAACAGCAGAGAGCAGGGCTTTTCCCAGCTACTTCTTTCTTATCTGATCTAATACGGGGAAGGAAGGTAAGGAATGAGAAAGACAAAGAAACAAGGAGTGAGGGGGAGGTCACAGAACCCAACTCAGGGCTTCTGTTCTGTCAGCCCACATAGATGATGCTGGAGGGTGAAAATGCGCACAGTCCATGAGCCCAGCACAGTACCTCATCATGGACCACACAGCGCGAGGAGACACCGGGAATCCACCGCTCTTGGGTTCTGGTGGCAATGGCGAGTGGCAGCCACTCCAGGCTCCTTTGTGAGGGAACCGCTGCTGCTTCCCATTCTGCCGGAGGGGGTGCGCTGGCAGTGAGGGCTGGGGGCTCCCTGGTTGCTGGGGGCTGCGCTGAGGGATGACCCCATTGCTCCTAAATAAAGTCAAACAGAAAGACAAAGCTTGCAACAAGAAATAGCAGTTCTTGTCCCAAGTCCTGCTCTGAGAAGCAAACCATTCTCAAGTGGTTTAGCTCTTTCGTTTCTGGTATGAACCACAGTATTTTAAAAGTAACATCATTATAATATTTTTTTTTATTTTAGAAATTATTACATTGACTTCCTAATATAGAAAACTAGGGCTCAGTCCTTCATATATGGTCTCTCTCTCACACACACACTCACACACACACACACACACACACACACACACACACACACTCTTCTTCACTTATCATTCTCCAAATGTATTTTTCTCATAATATTTGATGGAAGTGGTATTCAGGATTTGCATAATTACAAACTTAGGAAATGCCATTCATAGCTGATCCATCCAAAGTACTGTGATTAAATTTTTCTTTCATAAATCCTCATAGACATAACTCAGGTAAAGTGGATGGACAAATCTGAAGGAGTCTGATTCTACCAAGTGGTGGTGAGAATATGGAGCATAGAAATCCCAAGATACTGCTACAATCATTTCAAGGGCGTATATCAGCACGTGACACAGCGAACAGGCACTGGTCTGTGGTCCCAGCAACACCATTCCTATGGTACACCCCGGAAAAACCCACATGCATTTGCACAAGAAAATCCACTGCAGCATAGTTTATAATAGCAGACATTGTGAAATAACCTATATTCCAAATCCAGAAAACTGGATAAATAAATTGGGATAATTAAATACCATGCAACAGTTAAGGTGAATGAACTATAGCTACTTGTATTGGCAATGATGTATCTTAAAGCCTAATGGTCAATGAAAAGCAAGTGATTTATATAAAGTTTGAAAATATGTTAAGTAATTCTTTTTGGTATTCACTGGTATATACATAGGAAATAATGGCAAGAAAAAAAAAATCATGGAAATGAAAAGTGCCAAACTCAGGATTGTGGTTACTTCTAGAGAGAGTGGTTGGGGACTGGGGTCAGGGAATGTTATTGTTTATATATTAGATATTTTATCTTAAATTTAATAAAATAAAAACAAATTTAACTCTCAGGGGCTCATCTTTCACTAAAAATATGTTTTCCTAAAGGTGATGTCAAACAAAAGAAATCCCACTCCATTGGTGTGGTTCCCTTAAAATTTAGGAATTAATTGCTCTTCCGTGTAGGAAAGTGCTTCCAACTTTGTTTTTGTTTCTGTTTCTTTCCTGCTTCCTGCATCCCACAAGGAAAGATCTCAAAAACAACCTAGTGCCAAGATATTTATTTTAAATTAGCAAACGAATGGGTGTAGATCCCTAAGAGTTTTGTGCAAAACTATGTACATTATTCTGGGGGGGAGGGGACACAATTTTGTGAAATTCTCAAAGGGGTCATGGCACCCAATAAATATACTCAGAACCTCGGAGCTGGTCTCATGGTACAAGTGTGCGCCCAATTCCTGCGCAGCCCATGTTCTGGGAGGTGGAGGCAGGGGTGCTTAGAGGTAACCCTGTGACTCTGGAGTCATAAGGACCAGGGACCTAATTCTGGCTCCACTCAGGGATAAGTGACCCTTCAGAGGCTACTTTCTATGCCTCTATTTTCTCCTCTGTGCAATGAGGGCAACAGTTGTGAGCACTGTGTGACTTCACGCCTGTAAATGGCCTGGCACACACAATGCCTGGCACATGACTAGAACTTGGGAGGCATTAACCATCCCGGGCCAGGTCTCCCTGTCATATGCTCTGGTTCCTTCTCACCACACTCACAGCTGTAGTTACTCATGTGATGTCTATCTCTCCCAATATTGGACATGCTCTCTGAGGGAAGAGGTCTTATCTCTTATTCTTGGCCAGGTACAAAATGAATATATGTTGAATGGGCGGAGGGGAAAAAATGAGTGTCCCCACTTATGCAGAGCTGCTGGTTTTCAGAGTTAAAAGTTACTTTTTAAAAAATCACAGATGATGAGCCATGCAACGTCTAAGTTACATATCGGCATATTATTCCTTCCTTTGACCTTCTAGCAGTTTACAATGGAGGTCAGGAAAGATTCTTAAAAGAATAAAAGAGACAATTAAGCCTGGCTCAACAGTAACTGGATAAAGAAGAAAATATAGGCAACGCGGGGCTGCAGAGTCCCAAGGCCAGAGGAGACAGAGACAGAACCTCAGCGACGAGGTTAAAATAGCTCAGGACCCGACCAAAGAGGAGGGTCTGCAGTCAGTTGTCACACCTTGCTGCTGCCAGTGAGGCAAAGCAGAAAGGAGCCAAGAAAAAGAGACCAAAGGAATGTAAGAAAGTAAGTGAAGAAAGCGGGAAGCAAGAGAGGTCGACAGGTTGTTTTCTAAAACAAAACAAAACAAAACAAAACAAAACAAAAAAACAACCAAAACAAAACAAAAGGCGAGCAATGCAATTGCTTCCATCAGTTAAGAGGATCTAGAGGAAAGACTCTCACATAAGCCAAGGGGAGGGCCTCTGGCCCGTGGCTTTCTTGGCACGGGGGTCAAAATGATAACGGGGTTCCTTCCTCAGAGATTTACAGGGAGTCAACAGAGCTCTAAACTCCACTTAAAGGATGTCTAAGTGCAGATAGGCAGGAAGGTGATCAGAATGTAATGGTTAATCTCAGCTTGTTGCCACTCAAGAGCCCTGCTCTTATCTTTATGTCAAGAAGTATAAAGCGGTAAGAAATAGAATAAAAAGACAGGATTTTTTCAAAGATAAAATTCTTCTCTGGACAAGGCAGGAAAATAAATCAACCCCATTTTTTCAAAGTTCAAACGTAAGGACCTTATAATTACTGAAAAATGGGGTCTGCATGTCAAATTGTTAGTAATTATGGAATTAATAGAGGAAGAAAATCATGGTATGTGTCAGAACTATTAGTATGCCTTAGTCATTTTTACTGGCTACACTACACAGGATAAAATGAATATGCGTTAAATTCGTAAAATAAAAACAGGCTGCTAAATAAACATGTTCTTTGATTTGCATAGGACGCGTGAGTATTCCTGTGTGGTTTAGATTAGCCATTTGTGAAATTTCAAAACAAAACTCCCAGAACTCTGAGGTAACGATTCAGCTCTAGAGCAGACTCCAGCACAGCAGTGCCCTTTGATGAATGACACTAATTTGAATGCCCAGGTTCAAGGCAAGCTGTTAACAAACTGTGTCCACTTGCAACCACTTCTCTGTGTGAGTTAAGATTTCTCAGTGGTTTACAACCAGAAAATATTGCTAATATAAACTTGCAAGTAGTATAGATACTTCTCAATTCCTAATTTGGGGCTCACAAAAATTTTATAGTCCCCACTGATTTTTATAAAAGCGTGAAGAGTTTGAACATTTATCTTAAAAAAACAAGGCCCACTGCTTATATTATGGTCTCAGGTGAAGTTACATTTAACAAAAATATTTTTATTTTTTTTAATGAAGTTTCAAAATTACTGATTTAAATACTTTTTTGTGACTTGGCTCCAGAATCTTTATTTCCTTTTTTTCACTTGATCCCTTTTTTATTAAAAAAAAAATTAATGTTAACATTATTGCAGGTGTCCCCCCCTTTCCCTCCCTTTGCCCGCACACCCCCTCCCTGGGCTTGGCCTTCATCACCTATTGTCCATGTCCATGGCGTATACATATCCCTTAGGTAATCCCTTCACCTTCTTTATCCAGCCACCCCCTACTCTTCTCCCCTTGGGCATCGACCAGTCTGTCCCATGTATCCACACACTGCTTCACATTCAAATGGACTTACGATCTCTCTTGCTTGTGGGATAGGGAAAACAGATCATACACCAAGCACACTCCGAACACGGTGATGCCCGTCTCTTTCACCAGCATGGCGCAGGTCCCCAGGAACAAACCGAGCAGCAAGTAGAAAGGAGAGGCCGTGGAAGGGAAACACTCCCCAGCACAGCACTGGTCCACACTCCTGAAAAACAAGGCGGAGAGTCTCCTAATACAAGAATGTGGATTGCTAAGAAATACCGCCTTTCAACACTAAGAACTAGCATCAATTTCATTTTATTCTAAATAAGTGGGTGAGCAAATGTTTCTTCAATCATAGAATTATGTAAAGATAAGAAAAGTAAACGCCTAGTCCTGATTTTGATACTTGAAATAAGGTATGCAAAAATTATGATAAAACCTGATGTATAATAAATGAACACTAAAAAGCCATTTAAGATGCTACCATAGAGACATAGCTAGTGACATGAAAGATGGTTAGGTGACTATATTTTAAGTGAATAACACAGGTTACTAAGCCACATGCATGAACTCCAGAGCCAGGTTCCCTGGGTTCCAATCATAGCTGTAAAATTAAGTAACAGGGTCATGGGGGGGCAGGTTACTTTGCCTCTCTGCCTCAGTTCCCTTCCCTGTGAAATGGGAACACAGTATTGGAGTGAGAATTCATTAAGTGACTAAATATATATTTAGTGTTCACCACCATTATTATTTTGTTTTATATGCTTCTGTACACACACAAAAATATCAGTGGAGATATATACACACAAAAAAATACACACACACAAAACATAATCATCGTTTCTCCCTGTGATAAAAATATAGATAATTTAGCTTTTTTCTTTTCTTCTGCCTAATATGTATATTTAAATCTATTTTCCATAAGATGTATTATATAAAGGGCTTTTTTTTCCCTCAGTATAATTCCCAGCAGGAATTTTCAAGAGCCCTCCAGCACTGTAAAGTCTTTTTTTTTTATCTTACAAAATGGAATCAGCCCCACACGAAGAAACACCACAGTTCCTTCAGCAGGCACCACACCTGTCGGCCCCTGCTACTTTGAAGGAAAATATTTCTGTAGTTGTGATGTCTTACCCTTTACTCTTATGTCTAAAAGCAGTTGCATAAAAGTATATGTCAGCAGATATGCATTCTTCTTCAATGCTGGGCTATAGCTCAAATTGCTGAAAGTGAGAATGGCACGCACAATAGAAACCTGTGCTACTGTAGCTCATTATCACATAAATATGGATACGCTGCAGGCCTAATCGTGTTCCCAAACACACAGAGAAAGCTCAAAAGAACAAGTTCAAACTAAAAGCAATTCTTAATTTTGTTCTGACACCAGAGTAAACAGGAAACACTTGTTGCATCTGGATTTATAGTTTTAAGATTTTCACATCTTGCCGAAGCCGGTTTGGCTCAGCGGTAGAGCGTCGGTCTACGGACTGAAAGGTCCCAGGTTCGATTCCGGTCAAGGGCATGTACATTGGTTGCGGGCACATCCCCGGTAGGGGGTGTGCAAGAGGCAACTGGCCAATGTTTCTCTCTCATCGACGTTTCTATCTCTCTATCTCTCTCTCTTCCTCTCGGTTAAAAATAAATAAATAAATTATATATATATATATATATATATACACACACATATATATAGTGTATATATATTTATATATAGTGTATATATATTTATATATATATATATATATATATATATATATATATAGATAAAGATTTTCACATCTTGATGCATGACTAGCAATGCAATGGAGGGCACAAAGCCAGGACCAGGAGACTGGTATTATGCTAAAGGCCCTGCTCTTTACCAGAGCTTCCTAAGACTTAGCTCATTTCATTCTGGGTCCACAGTCTAGATTGGTTTACAACAGGGTTTCTCAATTTCAGCGCTGTTGGCATTTCGGGGAAGATGATTCTTTACTGTAAGGGCTGACCCTGTACATTGGAGGATCCTCAGTCCAGCGAGTTGTGACGAGCCAAAGTGTCTCCAGACATTGTCAGATATCCCCTGGGGAAGTAGGGGTAAATTTGCTGCCTACAGAGAACCACTGCTTTAGAGCAGTGTTGGCTAGAGTCCCTGGGCTTTGTAAGGGTATAGATCGATGAAATGATCCAGAGATCAAGGTTCATCAATCCTTAGCCAGGCCAAGCCATCCTCCACGAAGGAGGGCAACATGGTTCTCTGACCCCTTTTTTTCTGGGCCATCCTCCGAGTCCTCTGCCCCTATTTACGTTCTCTTTTCAACCTACCCCTTTCCCTATGGGGCTAGTTCACAACACAGGTCAGAACCTGATCACATTGGGGGGAAAGAGGCAATAAAATGGAAAATTGTTTATTGCTATTTAATCTCCAAAAAGCAAGTAGCTTCTGTATATTGATGAAAGGATATGTACCGGTAATTGGAAAACCACAGTTGAGAAACTTTCAATTCAGCATGGTTTTAAGCTCTGAGCTACTTTAATGAGGATGGGGAGAGGGATTAGAACCAAAAATGTAAAGGAAAAATTGAACAAATCATAGGCAAATAAGAGAAATGACTACATCCAATCTATTTTTGCTCAGAGCTATGATTCCAAATTCCATTCTCAGTCAGAAACTGTAAGTAAAAGGAAACAAGAAACAAGAGCTTGTCTTCCTGGTCCTGGGAAGGCAGTTCCTACGAAAGGCTATGACATGGTTCAGAATGTGGCTGGAAGAGAACACCTGGCACTGGCTAAGGAGAGGCTGTCCTGTGCCAGGTCTCGGGGAAGCTATTCAGCACCAAGAAGCCTCCCTCTTCTCTCAGGCAGATGTTGAGAACACACACACATACACATACACACACAACACAAATACACACACACAAATACATACACACCACACACACACAACACAAATACACACACAAACACATACACTTACAAATACATACATACACACACACACACCACACAAATACACACACACAAATACGTACACATACAAATACATACACACCACACACACACACACACACACACAGCAGAAATTCCCAAAGGACAGCATGATTGCAATCACAGAGAAGGACACCCTTAGCTATACATACCTATTGTAGGAGAGAAAGGCCAACAGAAACAGCAGGCACGCTAACACGTCAGCTCTGCCAACAATTCCAGCTACCTAGGATGTTTGAAAAAGTTAAAAATTAAAATGTCAGAAAGTTACTTTCAGTAAAGTATTACAAAAATATGTTTGGATTTAGATGACTGCAAAGAATAATAAAATGGAAAACACATTGTTCTTCAAATTCTAACCATCTCTGGATATCATGTATATTTAATAATACATCTATAGGAGGAAAAAAGAAGAAGGAAGGGATAAGATTTTCATACTTCTCTTCATTTTTAACCTTTCTTCAATAGAAGGTTAATTCACAGCATCAGTTTCTTCATTTATTGGTGTATTCAAAATATCTTTTTAAATATGTTTGGATTGATTTTTTTAGAGAGAAAGGAACATCAGTTGAGAGAGAAACATAGATCAGCTGCCTCCCGCATGCCCTCTACTAGGGATCAAACCCATACCTGGGCATGTTCCCTGACTGGGAATCGAACCAGCGACCTTTTGGTGCATGAAAAGACACTCAAACAACTCAACCAACGGAGCCACATCAGTCAGGGTTTTTTTTTGTTTTTGTTTTTGTATTTTTAAAAACTTTTTTGAGCAATGAGTGAGTGCCAGTGTTCTAGTCTTTGGGCCTGGAATGCTAGTGGAGCAGAGAACTCTTACATAGCACTAGTAAAAATAAGTTGAATCAATATTCCTAACAAGAATGGGAATGAATCTGAACTCCATCATTGCTATACGTGAGTGTATGTACATGCGTGTATTTCTTAGCTCTGCCACCAAAAGAGCCTAAAAGCAAATGCCTCAGGGTCAAAGGGCCATCCTGGCACTAACTGCAAGCCATTCCTCCACTAAAGAGAGCATGGACTGCAGGGCTGAGGCTGGGGAGCTATAAGAGAAGCTTGGATGGATCACCTCTTTGTGTTAGAAAGTACCTAAGAAAGTGCTCAAAAAATGGCAGGTTCATGTGTAAAAAGGACTCAGATGCCAATGACAAACCACTGACCAAAGATGATACAATTTGAACATCAAAATAAAGACATTAAAAATTGTAAATCATTAAAAAGATATTCATGAATGCATAATGATAACAAAGATATGGATGGATGGATGGATGGATGGATGGATGGATGGATGGACGGACACATGTGTAAGTACCTGCATATATACAGTAAGCAAGTGAAAGAAAAAGAATGGTGAGCTCTTCCTTACATGAAAAATCCAGTTAATGAATATAGAGGGAGTAGTGCAGTTGGAAAATAGCCATTTGCTTCTCCATATGAGTAAAGATTGACTCACTCAAGAAACATCACAAACTATCAATGCATACTAAATCGAAGATATGAAAGTTTAATGAAGCACAAGATATTTGCAGGGCTTCAAACCATTTCCTCACCGATTACTTATTAGCTGAATAAATAAAAAGAATAATTCTACTATGGGGAAAATGTGCTACATTGTACTACACCTTTACTGGGGCATAGAATTTAGCCTCATCAATAAAGGGCAAATGGACATGGCATGTCTAAGCATGTGGTACCCTGAAGAACACATCCCTTGTGTAGTATGACAGCCAGGAACACATAACCTGAATATAATCATGAAAAGTCATAGGACAAACACAAGATAAGATACTCTAATAAAATACATAAATTAACATATATTTATATTAATAAAGTATAACATATAATAATTCTATATTATCATTTTATAACATTAAATATTATATCTTAATATCTTTTAATTTATATTATATCTTGGTTTACTAATTATATTACAGCTCATTATAATCTAATATATCATAATATGATATTGTACACAATATATTATATATTATAGGTATGTATATATTATACTAACATAATATATATATTATGTATTTATATTTTGTATATATTATTTTTATATATTTCTATATTATGTATTTACATAGAATATATTTATATTATTTACATATTATAAAATTTTAATATACTACACTTAAATATTGCATTAAATACTAAAATCATATAAGATATATATTTATATTTTAAGTGTATAATACAGCATATGTTATATAACCTTATGGATTTCAAAGTTATAAAGATCATATTAAGAACATTTTATTATATACATTCTAACATATGTTTTAAATTACATTTAAAGCTATATATTATATTACAGAAAGATATAAGGACTAGTAACTATTTCAAACTTAAGGAGACTAAAGTGAAATGATGACTAATAGCCTTAGTTTAAATATACAACTAAATTAAGATGTAAAGTGGCATGAAATGCAGCCTGCTCTCAAATGCTTCAGAAAACAATAATTTTATATATTGAGGGAGAAAGAGAAAAAGAATGGTAAAACAAATGTGGCAATATTTGAAAAATTGGAGAGTCTGGACAAATAAGATATGTTAATTATATTTGCTTAAGTTATATATTATTTTTTAATGTTATTCAGAAAGGAACCAAATGGAATAAAGGTGGAAGACAGAGGGCTATTTATAAATGTCTGCATAATTGCACAGCTTAAAATGTGTGAATTTCTCTTAATTTTTTTAAATCCAAGGAAGAAAACTGTAAAGGAAAAAAAATGGCGTATGATTCAAAGAATGCTGCAAAGACAAGGTCACGGATGAGCTGGACCTTTAAGATGAGTTTGCAAAGGAAATAAACTGGGTTAACATTTCAGGCATAGAAAACAGCATCACCCAAATCATAGAAGACCTGAAGTCCACTGTGTATTTGAGACTCAGTCAATAATTAATGGCAGAAAATAGTTTTCTGGAAAATATACATATAAATGCCCTCCAAAAAAAAAAAAAGAAAAATACAATTTGCCATGATAAAGAAGAGGCCATGCCACACCAGGGAGCTGGACCATCCCAGGCTTGAACATATACTTCTTTGCCATCTGAGTAAGAGTGAGACTCAATTTTGTTACCTTTAATTTCTTAAAATAGGTTATCTTTAAAATGAGTACAATACCCTCTACCTTATTTTACTGCTGTAAGTAATGAGATGATACATATAAAGTGCCCCCCCAACATTGGCACCCTTCTTTCTTCCTGCCGAGAAAGGGGTTCTAACACTTAGCCCCGAGACAGGATGTTCTGTGTGTCTTATGGAAATCATCTTTTTACTTTAACGAATGTCTCCATGATATTTTAACTTTATTGAATAATCTACCTATTAGCTAAACTAGGAATAAAAGTAATTCAAGTATATGCCTATATATACTGATAGATTGATGGCAAGTCACATATTGAGAAAAATTCTAGTTCAATTGAAACCAAGAGAAACCTGGACATCCTATCTAATTAAAAAAAAAAAAAAGAAAAGAAAAGAAAGAAAAAAAAAGTGACATGCAAATTAACCATCACTCTGCTACACCCACAAGCCACAGCCAATCAGGTGCAAGTATGCAAATCAACCCAACCAAAATGGCTGCAGCCACAGAGCGAGCAGGAGTCTTGGGTTTCCCTGGCAATGGAAGAAGCTAAGCTTTCTGCACAACCTAGAAGGCCTAGGCCTCTACTCAAGGCTACAAAGTTTCAATTATAGAAGATAAATAAATCTCAACAAAAGTAGCAGCAACCATGGAGCTGGAGAGAGCAGGAGGCTTGAGTTGCCTATGGCAATGGGGGAAGCCAAGCTTTGCACACACCCTGGCCTGCCTGGGCCTCCACTCAAGGCTACAAAGTTTCAATTATAGAAGATAAATAAATCCCAACAAAAATGGCTGTGGCCATGGAGCAAGCAGGAGACTTGGCTCTGCTCAAGGCTACAAAGTTTCAATTATAGAATATAAATAAATCCCAGATACCAGGGCCTCTGCATAGGTCGCCAGGGGGCGTGGCTGGCCTGCAAACCACCACAGGCCCCTCAGGCTGCCAGGGGAGCAGTTAGGCACCAATCAGGCCAGCAGGGGAGTGGTTAGGGGGTGATCAGGCTGGCAGGCAGAATTGGTTAGGGGCAATCAGGAAGCTAGGCAGGTGAGCAGTTGGGAGCCAGCAGTCCTGGATTGTGAGAGGGATGTCTGACTGCCCTTTTAGGCCCGATCCTATTGGTAGTTGGACATCCCTCCAGGGGTCCCATATTGGAGAGGGTGCAGGCTTGGCTGAGGGACACCCTCCCTTCCCCCATGCACGAATTTCGTGCACTGGGCCTCTAGTGATCAAATAATTTCATTGTCAGTGCAGAGTTACCTAATGTGGCTGCCTGGACCACACACTGTTCATTGATCCATTAATCTATGAAGAACCTGAGTTCCAAATCAGGAAGACTGTATGACTCAAGGGAGTCGGGCAGTGACAAGGCAGCATCACCTTGGTGTCAAGGCCAAGCTCAAACTCACCATCTGTAAAGCAACAATTAATTGCACATGGTTCACCTGCGAAGCCCAAATCTGCTCAGTATACACCTCTGCCTCCATGAGCACTGAACTCAGCATCAGCTCGAGGGCCTCCTGATGGTTCAACAGAGAGTCCAGCTGGCCAGCAACGAAGTCTTGGGATAAGGCCAGGCATCTGGGCCTGGAGGGACATCCATCATAGCACAACTGATGTGGCCAACTTGGACAATGGCAAGACTTGCAAGCTGATAGTGGGTGTAGCAAGCTGGCATGAGGCAATAATAAACGAGGCAAGCATAACTAATATGTAAAAGGCGCCTGGAGCCCTGCTTTTCGAATTACAGCCAGTTTCAGTGCTGCTGGGAAACAGCAGCGGCAGAACATGCCAGCTGTGTGTGCCCAGATATGAAAAACGCAGCGTCCCTTGGAGCAGAAGGTCAGCGTGAGTGTTAAAATGTTAGTGTGAACCCTGGTAGGCTCTGTTGCCAATTTCAAAACCACCAAGCCTTCACTGAACACCTATTCTATATCCGTGTTCCGTTAGGGTCTCTGGGGCTAGGGGTTACAGGTCTAAAATCAAGGCGCTTGTCACCAACGACTCTATGCCCAGACCAGCCACTCACTGTGATTCAATTAGCCAATAGCATCATGTTCAGTAACTGCCTGTGTTATTCCAGTCAACAAGCATTTTCCAAGTGCCTCCGGTTTGCCAGGTATTATGCCAGCTGGAGGGATACAGCCTGCCACAAGGAGTTTAACATCTGGTGAGGAGTCAAAAAGAGTGTACTGATGTGCCACAGGGAAACTGCAGGTCTCCTAAAGAGGAGAAATCATTGCCATAGGAAGACTAAAGGGATTCATTTTGACTGTAGGATCTGGCAAGGCTTCATGGAAAGGCTGTATACACGAAGACACAGGACAGCGGAGAAAGATTTCAGAAGCTGAGGATGGATGGGAGGATGTGAATCCTGGGCCAGAGAGGGGACGCAGAAGCATTGCAGGTCAAGGAAAGAGAGGCCTGAACACATACGGGGTGTTTCTGGAAGGCAAGGCATAAGGGAATGAGAACGTGGAGTAAATGAAAAGGAGACAAACGTGGGCAATGGGAAGCAGAGATGGAATGTCAATTTGGAGGCTCCTGGGCTTGATGTGACAAAGTCAGCTGAACTGGATGATACTGGGAAGTGAAAAAGGGCTTGCTCAAAATGCAGATGGACGGCATGTATTTCTGCCTGATGTTGCAGGTTTCCATCTCCAAGGAGGTAGTTATAACCTGAGACCTGAATCCTTTAAATATTCAAACAGTGGAAAAACATCAGTGAGTTGGGTAGAATTTAAATAATGTAACATTCAGATCTCTGAGCAAGCTTAAGAGAATGTAGAAATTGCCAATTATGGACTTAATTTGCTCCCCAAACTTATTACTTCTTGGAATACCACTCATAGGATTTGTATCAAGTTATTCATCATTTGACCTGCAAGGATGAGTTCCATTAGCATAAGACAGGGCCAGGAACACACACTTAATACCTGGCAACAGCTGAAGGCTGGACTGACTGATTCGATCATGACAATTCTCTCCTCGGTTATTTTGTCCAAGTTCTAGAAACGTTGACTTTAACTTTCAACTCCATGTGTCAGCATTTCCTGCACATACTTTTGACTAAAGTTCATTCCTTCAAACCAGCAAGGTCTTGTCTCCTTCATGGGTAAATTTCAATACTCCTAAGAGAATTACAATGATTTTTCTCATAATTTCCCAAGAAATATACTGTCAGTTAACCCTTCCAAGAATCTCAAGGCCTTGAGTGAAGAAAGGTCTGCATTTATCTTACTCTATTATTTTTCTGCAAGAGGACTACATTATAGTCTTTCAATATATTTGTTAAAAATTGAGTAAATAAGTGAACTTGTTCCTATCTACTTAAATTGGAAATAATTTTCCCTTTGCTGGGATTCTTGTTTTATTATAACATATTGCTGAATCTTCTATGTATTTATGGGTATGTGCTTTGGCTTTTCTAGTGAGGATAATTTTTCATTTGATTTTTAGAGAAAGTGGAAGGAAAAGGGAATGGGAGACAGAGGGAGACAGATAGAGACAGAAACATTGATGTGAGAGAAACAAATCAATGGGTTGCCTCCCACATGCACCTGATCATGGGTAGGGATCAAACCTGCAAGCCCTATTACTGTCCTTGACTGGGAATCAAACCCATGGGCTCACACTCTAAACATTGAGAATGCCAGCCAGGCCTCAAAGCCGATTTTTGAATCATAAACCATATTACATTTCTGACATAATTTTTAAAGTACAGTTGAAAATGAATGTTTAGCATGTTAGGGAGACATCTTCTTCAGGGAAGAACAATGCAGAGGATGGTAACAGTCCTAATTCTATTCCTGCAGAGTAGGAGAACATAAAACCTAGGTAGCCTTTGGCAGTGTGATCATGAGCTGATAAAGTTAGGTCGAATTCTAAATTAAAAAAAGGAAAATCCTGTTAGCAAAACGATCTTTAAGAAAGGGTTTCAACAGGCTTTTGTCATAATCAGGGGAAAAGATCCATGGTAACACAATTATAAGGGCAAAATAGTTTAAGGGTTGGACATTTACTTAGGAAAAAGTGTTAGAAAAACTATTTGCATTCACAAAGAGATAAAGGAAGAAGAGAAATTTGACCTACATAACAATCTATAGTAGGAAGTAAAATCAAGAGACTATTATTTAATTATAGATAATAGTTCAGGCTCCTAATGAGGAGGATAGAGAAGTAGACAAAAGAGATGTGCTTTTTAGAAGACATAAACTGATTTTTAGAAGTGATACATTATTTTTAAAAAGAAAAATAGAACATAGTTGGTGGGAGAGGGTTATTAGGAGATATAGTTCTCCTTCGTTAAACAAAAGCAAAAACAAGACCATAAATTTTCTCAGGAAAGACTGAAAATTTAAATTTTGCGGGGAGGAGGTTTAGTTTAAACATGCTGAGATTACATTTAAACATGTTGCTATGGTTAAGGATTTGTTTTATTGATTATGCAATCAACAAATAATTCATGAGTACTTGGCTTGATGCAGGCACTCTATTGAGTGACAGGGAATATATGAGAGGATAAAAAGTTCTCTACCCTCAACTTAGGTATATGCCCTAACTGGAACTCAAACCCTCAACCTTCTGGTATATAGACAATGCTCCAACCAATTGAGTTGCCTGGCCAGGTCTAAGTCACATTTTAAAGAGGACCAGAGCTTTAAATTATCTAACTCTATAAGTAAAAAATCATCTTCTACAAAATAACAATACTTCATATTAGATAATTTGAAAAATGATATGTTAGTTTCCTGTCTTTCTAACTTGAATATCAGTTTAACTTTTTATAGCCTTCTTCCCAGCACTTACAGTTCTGCACCGTAAATATTTTAAATATAAAGCAGAGTGCAAAAAGATAAAATATAAATGCAGAGTTGGAACAGTGACCCAGCATGATAAGTATCTCAGAATTCCCCTTGTTGTTAAAAATGCATTAGGACTTACATTTCCTGCAAATAAAGAATGGTGGCCATTTATTACTAGCTGTAATAATAACAGTGGTTATTTAGAAAAGCAATTAAATCCTGGAGGTACAATAAAGACCATTTGAACATTCAAAAAGAGAAGTTGCCAGGCAGTATGATTTATATATAAACACTTTAGTAGAGCTTTAAATTAACAGGGTTTTGAAACGGAAAAAAAGACGACTTTAGTGGGTTTTTTTGGTTCTTATTTCATTGAATTCCAATTACACTCACCGCCTCTGTGTGAATAGGATGCACAGCAAAGAGCAATGCCGTAACAAAAGCGAGTCCACGATTCTTGAAGACCGTTTTGTCACAGGTGTACATCAGCACAAGAGTCACCAGGCAGTGCAAAATTACATTCACTGCATGAAAGTAAAATGGGTTCATGCCAGTCAAAAATATGTTTAGCCTAGAACAAAACAAAAACAAAAACAAAAAATGGTTAGTGACCAACAGAACATAGGTACAAGGAAATCAGAGGGAATCCATCATTTTAAAAAGTAAGCTATTCAAGTGATTATTTTTAAACTAGAGGCCCAGTGCACAAATTCGTGCACAGGAGGGGTCTGGCCAGCCCACCTCATCAGGGCCGACTGGCCAGGCTGGCCAGGGGGAGGGGCAGCAGGCAGTTGGCCGTCCCTGTCCCCTGGTCAAACTCCTGATTAAACTCCTGGTTGAACTCCAATCAAACTCCTGGTTGAGGGAACAATGTGTATATTAGCCTTTTATTATCTAGGATGACTCCCAACATATGAGTTACTCCACATACAATATATGAGTATCATTTTTTTTCCTATTTCAGATGTTTCCTCTCTGCAGAAATCACTGCAAATGCGATACAATATTATTTCAGAAAACTGTGTGGTCTCACTGAGAAGGTAGACAGAGAGGTGCTGAAATGCTTCCCTCTCTTCATGGCTAATGCAAACACCCCCAACAACACTCTTGCTTCACTGCTGGTTCTTCCTAGGCAGCTAAATGTTCAAAGACAAGACAACAGGGTTATGGGTCAGAGCCACAGCCGATGGAGGTGAGAAAGAAACCACAGGACTGTGACTATGGTCACAATTGGGACAAAATAGGCATAAAGGTATTCTCTCACCCATGGTGCCACCAGGAACCAAATTTCCAGATTATGCACCTGGAAATCATTGTTAATTACCAGCCCACAAGCAAGCTTCAGGGCACCTACATCCTGGTACCAGCTGCAGTTGAATTTAAAAGGATGAGCAAAAGCATAGCATTTCAGAATTTGTATTAAATATTTCCTTACAAAATTCCCACAGACCTCTGAATGCTAAGATCATTATGAAAAACAAAACAAAACAAAACAAAACAAAAAAAACTAAACTAAAAAGAGAACCAAGAGAACCACAAAGAAAAGGGAAATGTATTGTTCAACATCTTAAAAAATACTTTCCTGAGATAGAAATGCAGAACAGAGAAACTTCCAAAGGTTGCCTTAAATTTAATAATAGGACATCATGTCTCCAACTGAGTTTATGGGGTTATAGGAAAAGTTCAGTCATATGGTGTATGGTTGTTTTGGGGGAACCTATACACCCTAAGTAGTATTACCCATAGGTGTCTATACTCCAGCCCACTTATCCAAAACAGCAATCCCGCATCTTTATTCTTACGTCCTTTATCTGCTTTTTATAGAAACACGTCCTCTTTGCCAAAACAATCAAGAATGTAAAAGTCAACAATAGTGATGACATATAACTGATTTGATTCATGCACAGCTTTAACCTACATAATTTTAAACGTCTTAAGCTTTATTTGGACACATGAATCTAAATGTCATAGTTACTAATTGCCTCCACTTTCATTCCCATTGAAGTCATCATGGTCCTAACCAAGCTTAGAAAAATGAATTACTGTGTGGGATCCAACTCCAGGGCCCTGACGCCAGCAGACCCATGAGACTGTGCACACCTAAGCATCCTCAATACAAGAGTCTGGTGTGAAATAGCTCACCCAAAGGGAAGGAGGAACGACAAGGAATTGGCAGGTCCAACTAAAGAAAGAATGGTGTCCCTTTCCAGTGTGAGAGATCCCACATGTGGTGAGAGCTTCTGGAAATCAGAAAGTTGGGGATGGTGGAGCTGTGAGAAGGGCAAGACCAAGTCCCCATCCTCCAACTACTTGGGTGCAATTCCCTAAGGGCCCAACCCCTGAGGTTGGTTGTACACTGTTTTCCACATCATCAGGCAGAACTTTGCAAATCAACTAAGCCATTAATTTAAAATTCAATCAGACCTGTGATTTTAAGAGAAATAGGCAATCTCAAATCCAGTTAGGGGGATGTCCAAATTGGAAGGTCTTGAGGCTGTCACTGTGTATCAAAGGCTTTAAAAAATACATACGTGGACCAAAAATCCCACTTCTAATAATTTCCCATAAGGAAATAACCACAAAAGTATTTAAATATATATACATATTATGTGATATAAGAAATACATATTTTAGTCTTCATCCTAAATCCTGGTCAGAGATTCTATAAAACCTTCATCATTTCCTAAACAATGAAGGTGCTAGAAGCATCCCTTGTTCTAATCTCTGTCCCTGGTTCCTAGCACAGAACTCCAAAATCCCTTATAACTTCCTAAATGATAAGAGCACTAAGAGCATCTTTTGTTGTAATGTTTGGCCTTTGCCCTGATTCCTAAATCCCTTGGAATTCCTTGGGTGATAGAAGTGTCTTTTGTCCTAATGAAGTGACTTTTGGTGGGCTGGCTTCAAGGTGGAGGCTGGTCCCCAGAAAGACCAAACCCTGATTTAGAAGAATGGAAATTTCAGCCCCACCACCAACCTCCAGGGTTGAAAGAGGGGTTGGAGATTGAGTTAATAATTAATCATATCTACATGATGAAACTGCCATAAAAATCCCTAAACTATGGGGTTTAGAGAACTTCCAGTTTGGTGAACACATCCAAGTGACAAGAGGGTTGAACACCCCAACTTGAAGCGGACAGAAGCACTTGTGCTCAGAACCCTCCAGTCTCTTTTCACCTTTATTATATGTATAATTAACAATAAATATATGTGTCTCCCTGAGTTCTGCAAGCCATTATCATAAATTATTTATTGAACCTGAGGCATGGCCTTAGGAACTCCCGATTTGTAGTCAAGTTGGACAAAATATAGGTAATATAGGGATACACTACTTATGATTGACATTTGAAGTGGGAGCAGTCTTATGGGACTGAGCTGTTAACCTGGTGGATCGGATGCTAACTCCAGGCAGACAGTGCCAGAATTAAATTGAAATGTCAGACAACCCAGCTGGTGTCAGAGAAATGGTCAGTTGTTTGGAGTAAACCCACATATCTGGTGTCAGAGGTATTGTGTGTGTAGAGGAGAATACAAAGGAGTATTCTTTTCAATATACAAGGATGCATCTTACTCTGTTATTTATAAAAATGGCTATAAAGAGAAAGCAAGACATCTAGTAAGCCCAATTGCTGATTATTTGACTATTCACACAGATAGGATGCTGTAGAGCATAATTTGGGATTACAAATAACAGCATTGGTTTTAAAAAGCGGACAATATCAGACAATATTTTTCTAATGTGTCCATTATTCAACTGTTTGAAAAGTACAAAAGCATCATTAAAGATAGTGTTATTATTACTACACTAGAGGCCTGATGCACGAAATTTGTGCAAGAGTAGGCCTGCTTTCCCCCCGCTGCTGGCACCGGCTTCCCTCTGGCACCCAGGACTGGGGCTGCCCTCACAACCCTAGCTTCGTCCAGAAAGTCATCTGGAAGAGCAACTGGTCTAATTAGAATATTATGCTTTTATTATTATAGATCACCACACTTTTATGAGGCACATACATTCCTGTGACCTTCTAAAAATGAGGTAAAATGGTAGATATGAATCACCTTTGTGGTCCATATGTATCATATCTGAAAATGTGTAGGTGACATCTGTATAGATTATTATTTCTGGAAATGGGTTAGAACAGAGTGCCTAGTATTTTAAGTGAATTCAATCAGATTCCAAAATATAAAAATAAACTGATGAATGGGGAATCACTGCATTAATAAAGTAAAAGTAGGAGCCTCTCACATGGTACCCAACATTGGTGAATCTCAGCTTTGAGAAATCACCTAGAATCTAGAATTTGTAGAGTTCCTCAAATGTCTAAAAGATGGGGAGTGAACTCTCCAAACTATAGACAAGTGACCATGAAACAAATAGAGAAACAAAACATATCCTATTGTGAGCACTGAGGGGGCGGGGGCGGAATCTCTGATTTGGGGAGCCCATGTGGAATTACACAAAGGAACTTTAACTGATCAAACTCATATTTTAATGGGACAGGGGGCGTGGAAGACACAGCATGTCTTTAACAAAGGCATTTACAAAATCTCTCAGAATCTCCTTGCGTACAAGATGGAATAAGATAGATTTGTAGCTCACATGAAGAGTAATGAATAATAAATCAATGTCTCCTTGGATGGAGACCTCTAATGTATGTCACAGGATTCTGATATAAGCTCTGGTCTGTCCAATATTTTTATCAAAGACGTAAATGAATCTATGGTGTATGCTGACTAAGCTTGCGGGAGGTCTGTAACCGAGCAGGAGAATTGCTGCCCTGGGAAACTGACTGACAGAGATTCACAAGAAGTTTAAATGCCTGAAATTGTTCATTAATTTTAACTCAGAATATGGGTAAGAGTAAAGACCACATTTAGACATAAAAGAGAACAAAATACATGTGATCAGATTAAAACTGTACACATGGTATTGTCCGAGGACTGTTGGTTTGCCCTAAACTCAAAGAGTTATTGTGTCTTGGATATCCAGAAAGACCAATCCAACAACAGACAGACTGGGAACTACATAAGTCAAACTTATTTTTTCATTTCAATTCACTCCAACAGATGTTTATTGAGCACCTACTACATGTCAGGTATGACGTAGGGCCCAGAGATACAAAGAGAAAATGTGGCATTAGCTTCCAACAAGTTAACAGCATAGAAAAAGAAAGAGAGCCGAAACCAGTTTGGCTCAGCGGTAGAGTGTCGGTCTGCGGACTGAAAGGTCCCAGGTTCGATTCAGGTCAAGGGCATATATATACATTGATTGCAGGTACATCCCCGGTAGGCAGTGTGCAAGAGGCAGCTGGTCAATGTTTCTCTCTCATCAACGTTTCTAGCTCTCTATCTCTCTCCCTTCCTCCTCTCTGTAAAATATCAATAAAATATGTTTAAAAAATAAATAAAATAAAAATAAAATAGTGAACCATTTAAAAAAAAAAGAAAAAGAAAGAGAGGCACTTAAACAGATAATTAATGGCTAGCTTAAAAAATTCTAGCAATGGGAGAACTTACCAGGTGCAGAGATAGGGAAAAGGAAGGTTTTCTACCTGTAGGCAGGTGTGGGGAAGT